TAAGCACCAGTCACCTTACTGGAAATCCAGGTTGCCAGGCTCCACCCTTCGAGACTGCTTCAAATAGGGCTGGGGTGAGGCTGGGGACTCTGGGCACCTCACTGGAAGTCTAGAGGCCACCGAGGGAATCCTCAGCTCTTCTGGCTCAAGATTTCACAGTTCAGAGGCTCCAACTCCCGGGTTTTGTCTCCTCCGAGACCGAGGGGTTCCGATTCTGAGCGTTTCCACGAAGTAGTGAAGACAAAGCTTCGGCCGCTGGCCTTGAACTGCCTTATAGAAAAGCAGACTGAAGTCTCTTTCTCAGATTTTAGGATTCAGAGTCTGATCCAACTGTCCTGGAACTCCCTCGTCACATCACATTCTCTCTCTGAGCCTCAGTTTCTTGACCTGTAAGAAGGGTTCCTCGCTGTCCCCACCTGGTGGCGGTGCTGACGGTTTAAATTAGAGGCAACCATCTCACGCAAACCTAGCCAATGCCAATTGCCTGTACCAGGGGCTGGGGCAGGGCCTTAACCAGCCCAGTCCTGGGGGCCAGCATCACTGTGGAATTTCTAGTCTCTTCCGGGCCAGATTCCGAGTCTGGCCTCCTGTGCGTGAGATTCAGGACCCAAGATTCTGAAGTTCCAACATTCTGTACGTCACAAGAAACCCTTTGAGCAGGAGGGCTGAGGCAGCGGATATTTGCAACATCAAAATGCTGACCTTCTAGTTAATTCCAACGGGCCAAGTCAGACTCGCCCAATCAAGACATGTCAAATGAGTCTTAAGGATCTGCCGCCAGGCCTGGAAACCTCCCAGAGGTAGATGCTGGGACTCCAGGGTCTGTATCTGGTGGTGACACCAATGCTTGAGTCCCAGGTCCTGTCACTCGGTGTACCCCAGCAGGGAACAGGAAGCAGGAAGCAGGCTGGGCCAAGGGCAGAAGAGCTTCTCAGTGGAGAGTTCTGAGAGGCAGGGGTCTCTGGGGCGTGACCTTGGCAAATCCCCTCCCTTTCTAAGTCTCGTGCTTCCTTAGCTTAAAATGGGGAGGGCAGCAGCACCTGCCTCAACAAATCAAGAGCTCAACAAATCCTCCCGGGAGGCGGGAGGAAGCAAAGAATAGGATCACGTGGGTGGGAGTCCCAGGGACTCAGGAGGGAAAATCTGGGCTCTGGCCCCTATCTGGCTGTGTGACTGCAGGCAGATGTCCCCACCTCTCTGATTCTCTGCCCAGTGGGGGCAGTACGGACTCAAGGGTTGCCCGGAGGGTGACAAATGGCACTTGTAGAGCTGTGCTAGGCACGTGGCAGGGGCCAGAGGCATTGTTATTATTTCAGAAGATGATGGAGGGGAGGGG